CGTCCTCTGTCAGTTTTTCGAGTTATTCGTCGGTCCACTGTTTCTAAGCTATCATCACTGTGGAACTGTTCCGCTGCACACGTGATATTGCGTGATAGGAAAATACCCCTTCTCGAAGGTCGATAATCCTACCCCGTTTAAACTCTGTAAGTTGTTGAAATTTCTCCTTATTTTGTCATAGAGACATACTTATAGGTCTCACTAAACCTTCGCAACTAACAAATAATCATTCACTATTTTCAATGTCCCCCTACAGCCCTCTATTTATACGCTTTCAGCGTCAGTTCAGAGGTCGCTGTGGACGCCACACATGCGCGGTGGCTCTGAAACTTTACTATTTTACGTATAATTCTATAATTGATATTTGCTGCAAAGTTCATTTAATTCTGATGATTCCTTCATGATGTTGCATTTTTAGAAACAGCAGTGTGTTTCTAACAGGAGACTTATTTCCTTTCTTATCTGTAAATAACTATTGCACCGATAAGTACTTCCAAACGAGGAAATAATTTCATATTCGAATTTCCGAGTATTTTAAAATCTGGTTGGTAATAAATTTATAAAATCCAGACACACCCATGTCAATAAATTTTTCCTTCAAATCTGAGCCCCACTGAATCTCTATCACCTTCATTTGCATATGGCTGCGCACTGAGTCGATATTTGTTGAGAAAATAGAAGAAACAAACAAAATCTGTCTTAAGGTATCCGACTACGTTTGGAACCGTGATTTTAAAAAAGCACATAAATGGATAATTTTCATGATATTTAGTGTCACTTAGATTAGGATGCATATATAACATTGTTTGAAGGATATTTTGACAAAAAATATTTAAATACAATATTTTGGTAAAAAATTAACTTAAAGAATAACTTTTTTCAAAATGTTCTCCTTTTATAAAAAATGCTTCTAAAATAATAATATTTTGCTTACATAAAGTACAGACTTCTCCGGAGAGTGAACTATTTTTTCTTTTAAAAATTCACATTTTTTTTCAGAGTTACAACCAATTGAAATAATTATCGGTGTTTTTTTCTTAAAATTCCTCCCCTCTGTTGTCGTAAAACACGGACAAAGCCACTTCTAAGTTGTCTATTTCCAAAATTCTAGTTGAGCCTCTATACAGAGGTCTGAGCTATATACAGGCAAAATATTATTATAATAGAAACATTTTTCACAAAAGGAGAATATTTTGAAAATTGGTCGTTCTATGTTCATTTTTTGTCAAAAAATTTTGTTCTTAAATAATTTTTTACTGTAATATATATTATTCTTATAATAATTTTATATACATTTTCTAATCTAAGTGACACTAAATGTCATAAATATTATTCATTTATACGCTTTTGCAAAATCACGGTTCCGAACGTAGTCGGATACCTTAAGGTATTTTGTTTGTATCTTTTAAAATTACCTCAACAGTTTTCATCTGTTAAAAAGTCAGTAACCTAACTTTTGCCATATTTAGGATATTATTTATGCTTAAATACGGTGTTTACTTGATTGTAGTGTATTCAAAATAAATGTACGCCTTTTATTGAATGATAACAAAAAGAGTATAATTTAAAAGGCGTTTAGCGAATTCTACCTATCTTATTTTTATTCTGTGTCGGTTTAGTATTTTATTATATATTATTATGTGCCGATATATCGTGCTATAAGTTTATATTGAAAACGATACATATAACACGTTGAAATAAAAAGAATATAGTAAGTGTGAAATTTTAACTCAGCAAAAGAACTGATTCTGTTTGAGCAAATGTTCGTATCTTCACTATAATTACAGAATTAAAAATTTTTTTTTTGTAGGTATTAGTCGCATATCTTCAAACACATTGTGGATATAAAAATTAGAAACAAAGGCTATCTTTTGGAACATATCCTCCGTTTCTATGGCTATTGACTCGTAAAATAGGAGGATGTCTTTTTGTGCTACACTTCTTGTTATACATGTTACATTTGGCGAATTAGATCGGAGCGACCCAGGGATGATCGAAACACTCCTGCTCATTGGAAATCAAATGTGCTTTATTGAAGAGATATCTAGCTATCACACATATTAGGTAAGTATCAGAAAAAACAAGCAATAGAAAAGCATGGTATGTGAGGCCGGGCGTTATCCTGTTCATATGCAAGTCCAAGGAAGGCTAACAGTACGAAGTGGATAACCTCATCAACTTATTGCTGTGTTATAAGGGTCTCACGGGTAACAACCAAAGAGGACCGGCTATCAAATTAAATGAAGCCCCATGCAATAACTTTTGGTTGTCAGGTGGCGGGTTACAGTCAGATGACTATTCTACCGCTGTCTTGAACGTCTTCGCTGGTTATCGGGGCTCAGCTCGAAGCGAGTCTTTTGCTACAAAATATTCTATTCCAGACTATGAGATCCTCAGGGCCACTTCAAGCGCACTTGGTGGAAGGTCAGTCGATGCAAAGGCCCCATGACTACTGTAATCTATTCATTTGCATTACAATAACTGGTGTCCTGATTGTACGTTGAATTGTTGATTAGGGTGCATCAGGGGATAAGATCTTTGATCGTACATTTAATCGCTCTGCCCTCTCCTTATGTCGATGCTCACGGTTGGCACGGTTGAAAGACCTTGGTTCACCAATTCCTACTTACATCGTCGAATGGTAGGTCAGCAACAGTTAGATCGAATCGAACCTAACTTCTGAGGGATTTTATGATTTTATCCCTCTGCCTCCTTTAATCTAACAGTATATATATATATATATATGTTGTTCTTCCTCAAATGTCGACATATATTCATATTTTTCTCGAATCTATCAGAACATTGGCGCAGTTGATTTGGATTGACCGAATCACATTCACGTGGAAGTTATGCATTAGGATTTGAGTATCATCAGCCTTTTGCGCCATTCATGGACGATCTGGTTCTAGTGAACAGGAGCTGTAATTAGTCAGTTACTAGAGCCAAAATTTAGGCATTTGTGTATTTTATCTTAAAGTACATAATTTCGTTCCCTATGGGTGGTGCGTGGCTTTTTTGTATAATAAGAGTGTATCATTGTGTGCTATGTGTCTTTTTGTACTAAATCAAAAACGTTCTAAAACTTTTTAATTAGGTTTTCTTTCTATCTCTCACAGTTTTTGAAAAAGTTAGGCTAGCTACTGTTTGCCATTAGATAAAAACCGTAGTAGCAGAATGGTCACGTCTGAGAAATCATGGCTGATGTTATCGAGTTGTCGATTCAAACCCTGGTTCCACTGAAGACTTGTGGTGAAGAGAGACTGATGGAAACGCTAAAAGCCCTGCCATTGGCGAGGTGAGTAAATTTGTAGAGTTTAGTGACAGCATATTTGACTAAGGCTCAAGATTACAAGATCCATTGCCAATAGTCCTCGTGTTAGTTTAAATTGATACATTACTATAAATTATCAAATCAAATCTTGCTGCCAGATAACGCTATAATTAACTTCACTCTGTAATGAACACACTTAAAAGTTCTTAACTAGTGGTTTGCGACGCTGACTACTGTGCCGTTGGGTATGGGTTAGAATTACGGAGAGGACAGGGTTGTTTGTAAATGTATAATGCCTTCGTGGCATGAGGGTACTCTAAATAGCCGTCGAGCCGCAAGTTCTCTCGGGAGGTTGGTGGACGGGGAAGAGAGGTGAGAGGCCCCTGTGCATGCCCAGGATTTTCTCCCTCAAAATTGAGGGGAAACCGAACTAAATTGTTATGTCACCTGTATGGTGCTCAAAGCTACGGCTAATGACAGGCGTTACTTAGCCCTTTTCCAGGATGAATTTCGTGGTCCTTGATTTGGCCTTTGCCAATCAGGTGGCATTAGCAAGAACAACAACAACTAAAGTACTTAAACGCCACATGCTTATGGCAATAGTTACCATTATACGCATGTACACACATAAGAGTTATAATTACAGTATAGAGTTTGCATTTTTAATGATTTATTTATGAGATTATCGAATTTGAATCCATTTTAAAACACTCTTTTTGATCGAAAAATAAAATACATAATTTATAAAAAGGGACTTTTTTATTTAAATTTCATATATGTTAGCAGCAATTAGTTTTTGTTGTTTGAAATAAATTATTTGTGACAGTTCACCTTAAAATTCCGAAATGAACTGTAGTGAAATAGTAAAAATATTTCGGATGAATTTTATTCTTTTGCTTATAGATTGATTTGCCTGCAATATAAATTTAAAAAAGCTTTCAGTTTGAGTGCCTTTTCTTCTAAATTACTTTATGTATGATAATCTGACATGAAATTTAATTTTTTTATTAATGTTTATTATTTGAATTTTCCTAGGAAAAAGCTGATCAAAAGCTTCAGTGAATGACTCAATATTAATGAATATGAGTTAAAATTAAAGGTTCTGGATTAAAATTGTTCTAGAAAAATATTAACTCATAAAATAAGAGTAATAAAATAATCAATCCCTGAATTTTTTAAAAAAATTAATCAAATGGAATTCATTAAAGTAACCACAAGCAATAATTTAATACATTTAATTCACAAAAAACAACCTATCTTTGATTAATTAATTATAAGCAATAAATAAGTGACTGTAACAAATTGAAAGTAAAAGTAATTTATTGTTGTTCTCGTGTCCAAGTAATTTATTAAATTGATTAATAAAAAATAGTCTTAGAATTTGTGTGTGTTTCTAATCCGTATTACTTTTGAACTCATAACATTTTCTTCAATTCTTACTGTCTGTTAGTTTCACTCTCTCTCTCTCTCTCTCTCTCTCTCTCTCTCTCTCTATATATATATATATATATATGTATATCTTGTTCAAATTTTCAACCATTAATAAAATATTTTCTATTCATCCATTCAAGTTCAAATACATTTTTTCAAACTTGTAGAGGATGACACTTGATATGTTAATACAGTTTTATAAAATATTAATTCATTAATTATATTAAAAAATGAATAAATAGTAACAAACAAAAATAATAGTCCAACAGTATTTTTAGAAAGGAAAATTGTTTGTTATGTCCCTGTAGCGCAATGGACAGCGCGTTGGACTTCTATCCCAAAGGTCGAGGGTTCAAATCCCGCCTGAGATGGCCTAATTTCTGAGAATGTGATTTCTTTTTTACTATATTATTTTTTAAAAATAATTAAATTTTTAACTAATGAATTAATAGTAACAAACAATAAAATAGTCCAACACCCTATATAGAAAGGAAATTGGAAAATTCTAAGGAAACTCGCTTTCTATTTTGTCTCTTAATATTGTTATTCTGTGTCATATGCATATAAATATTTATATTAATTGTAACTATTTAATAAAAAGTAACTAAAATAAAAATTTTCTTTCTTGACCTAAGTAGGAACTGACTTAAATTTTTATATATATATATATATTACTTGTTAAAAAAAAATATTTGTCTTTTTTAAATCTAGATTTGTTAGAAAAAAAGGTTAATTAAAATTTGTGTGGAATAAATTTACTACGAAAGCATCTTACGATTAAATCATTCTTAACCCTATAATTAAAATAAAGAAGCATGACTTGTAAGTGCAATCTGCACTAAAAGTACGCTTTTATGTTTCGAAAGGCGTATTAAATGGTAGTTTTTAGGATAATTTTAGAGGCGCTACACCAGCTAATAATCCTAATCACTTTGCCATCTGATGTTTATCAAGTGCTAGCACATAAACGTTAGGATTTTAACGGCTGGTGCCATCTCTTTAGCTAGCCTATTCTGGTTGATATGAGCCAGGCCTGGAGTCACTCTCAATTTTGCGGTACACTAAACACCGGTAACGATCCGATGGAGTCAGTTTGAATACAGCGATGAAGTATGAGTTAGTGTCATCCTTAATCTAATGAAAGCTGGATGGATGATTATGAAGAAATATATCTTTGCTGGAGACATCGGGCTTAATTTTTTCCAGTCGTATTCTTTTATTCTTTTCCTTCAACTATTTAAGTGGCCAAATAGGGTTGCAAGGATCACAATTTTTTCTTTGGAAATTATAAATATTGTAAACCAGCGTTTTTCAAACTGTGAACCCCCAGAAGGGCGTAATTACTTTACTATTTTTAAAATTTTAATTTTTAAACGTTAATAATTTTTAAAAAAATATATTAATTTACAGAAATTAATAAAATACATTGACATAGTAAAAAATAAAATTAGTACTTACACTGATATAAAATTATATACACAAATTAACACTTATCTTGATAATTTGTACGGTTTATATATAATCCCTTCACTGCCGATTAAAAGTCACGTGATTCGCTCCCCAATTCCTCTGTTTTCCATGTAGGCGCGTGTATGTGATGTATGTGGGGGGGAGGAGAAGGAAAAATAAATAAGGAAATCCTCTCATTTAAGTAAATTCTTTGCAAACACTGTCAAAGTCCATTTATTGCATTCCAAAGCCTTCGGAATAATTTTATGGATAGCAGTGCACAGAAAAGATCGTACTTCATAAAGACACACACACACACACACATATATATATATATATACATTGCTGGACAATTGCTAAGGACGGATAACACTATCATCCATAGCAGCCACAGAATGAAAGGAAGCAAAATGTGGAAAATTAGAATAAGTGCGGGATATTAGTAAGAAGAAGTATGAGTATGCAAATTTTTTTCCCACGTCTGTTCATCACGTGATAGCGTTCATAAGAGCTTTAAAGGTTTTGACGCGTGTGGACAGTTGTTGTTTCAAGTCAAAGTTTTACAGGAAAGATTTAATAGACGAACTTAAAATTTTTGGCATGTCTTCCCGACATCACCTAGATGATTTTATGCGTGGCCGAATTATTGGAAAGATCGAAGAAGGGCGAAAAATAACAGATGTTGCCAGGGAGTTCGACATCGCTCACAGCGTTGTTTCACGGCTGTGGAAGTCATGTAAAACTACTGGAATGTGTAGTAGACGGCACGAGGGAGGTTGTGTTAGAAGTACAACGCCTGCAGAAGACAGATATATCGTCCTATCAGCAAAAAGGAACAGGCGCACCACAGCTCAGCAGGTGGCAAATCAGTTTGTTGCTGCCTCAGGAAAGCAGATCTCCCGAAAAACTGTTGCCAGACGTTTGAGGGGAGGAGGACTATACGCACGCAAACCTGTTGTGTGTGTCCCATTGACCAGACAGCACCGTACTGCCCGTTTGCAATAGTGTCGTGAGCATCACAATTGGACTGAACATGACTGGCCATGCGTACTATTCTCAGATGAGAGTAGGTTCAGTCTGTCATCGGATTGTAGACGCCAACTGATCTGGCGCGAGAGTGGTACTGCTTATTGTCCAGAAAATATCCAGGAAAAGGACCGATATCTGACATGCAGTATCATGGTGTGGGCCGGCATCATGATTATTGGCCGCACGCGCCTACATGTGGTTGCGAATGGGACTATGACGGGCCAATGATGCATTGATGAAGTTCTACGTCCTCATGTTCGTCTTTTCCGTGGTGCTGTCGGTGATAAATTTGTTTTTATGGACGACAACGCAACATGTCATCGAACACTCGCTGTTCAGGATTGTCTAGACAGCGAGGGTATTCAACGTCTCGTATGGCCAGCGCGTTCTCCAGATCTAAACCCCATTGAAAATGTGTGGTATGCTTTGGGGAGGCAAGTTGCTGGTCGAAACTATCCTCCAACAAACAAGAACACCCTCATCCGTGCACTCACAGAGGAATGGGATAAATTGCCTCAACAGCTGCTGGGTAATGTTGTGCAAAGTATGGTACGAGGTGTGGAATGTTGCATCACACTCCACGGTGGACATATCCCGTACTGATACCTTTTTTTAAGGTGCCTGCTGACTTTTAGATGCATTGTTCCATTTCTCCGTACGCAGATCAAATGAACAATTTTTTTTCTTTCAGATGTTTCACAGCTTTTGTACTTTCCAGAACAATAAATATTCTTTATTCTAATGTCTGTACAGTGTGGCAACTATATTTTATCCTACTAGGCCTCATGTCTCGCTTAATGTTATGCTACATAGCAATTTGTGATCCGTCCTTAGCAATTGTCCAGCAGTGTATATATATGTCCGGAGCATTTAACGCACCGATTGAGCGAGATGTATATATACGCTGGTGGCAAGAGGTTAAAGCCGTATTACAGCTTTAACGTCCTAGTATTACTGAATTCAATGCGTTGTTATTTGTATGGTTGGGGGGGCAAGTGGCCTTGATCATGAACACGTAGGTGGCATTGTTGCCATTGAATCATAGTTCCGAATCCTGATGACACTGTGATATGGCTTGTAGAAAGACTGCTTCACATTAAATATGTTGAGGCTCGAAGCCCTCACGTTGGTATGGAGGGCCGTGTGTGCAGAGCTCAGGTGATGTCCTTTTTACTTGACTGGGTTCAAAATTACAAAGGCTGTTGTGATGACCACTTTGGGTCACACCTTGAACACCAAGATTAATTTGAGGCAAAGAACCACCAAGATCCATTTTGAATAATAATATTATTTATTTTGTTATAATTTCCTCAAAAATCTCTGATAACAAATAATACAATAATGTTGCGTCGTTTAAAGGAATTTGCCTTTATATTAAATTAAATTACTAAGAATACAATTAATTAATAATCTAGCTCAACTCAAGTAAGGTTTACCGAAATAGGAGATCCGAGAAACACACGTATTCGAATTCTTAACTGTCATTAACTTTAACTAAGTAGCTCAAACTGACGCTTACTTTAAGCGTACGTGAATTATATTTACAGCTGGCTTATATCAGCTTTCTGGTACGCTTAGCAGCACGACGTCGTCACGAATCTAATCTCTTTGAATCTTCTAGTTATGCGTTTAACGTTACTGGCTCAATAGCCTACCATCATTTATCTTGCTAACCCTCGACTTAAATACCTTATCTAATTTAAATATCCCATACTTCTTTTTGGAGTTGATTGGAAATATAAACGCGAATTTATATTCCCCAGAAAGACGCCTAAGAAGATTAGTGGAAAGGTTCCGTACAGATTCGTCACACTGTTGCTAATAACTTTCATGCTGCTTCGAAGTGTGACATTGATGAACAATCGAAAGAAAAATAAAAAAAAATGTGTAGAATGGCAACATCAATTGTTTATTTAACTGGTTAGCTGAAATTTTGTGATATTTCTTTTATACTATTTTAATTTCTTCTGTCAGCGCAAGCTATTTAAGGGAGGTTTTGATACAAACATGCAGGAGTTTATTGACTTAATTCATTTTCTTATTTAGCATATACTGAATTTCTTGTTAACTCAGTCTAGAGGATAGATCGATGTTGTACATTTCACTATTTTCCGTAGAAGAAATCCCCCCAATCACAATTGTAGCTGATGTGTGTGGACTGTTCATTAAGCATTCATTCTCTCAAGCCTGACTTATAATTGTAAGTATATATAATTTACAATAATTAATTTTAATTTTAATTGTAAGTATAAAAATTAGATTCTGATAGCCAACAATACTAAAGTAGTATTTACAAAAAAAAAAGAAAAAAAATCGGATGTGTGTGCATTTTTAGAGAGAGATTATCACTTTAAAAAAAATAAAACTATTTAAAACTTTTTAAATGGTTAAGTGAGTCATTTTTACAAAAACTCTGCAGGAGGTACGAATTTTTAATACTTTTAACAATTTAAAGATTCTCAACTGTATCATCAAATGTTTTTGAAATAATTAAGGTATAAACTAAAAAAAATAATATTGATTTAAGAAGATATATTGCATATTCCGATAGAAAAATTGGACTAAGCATTAAAAAAAATCAGCAGGATAAATTTGTACAATTTTTATCTAGTGCACGAAAATCAAAAAATGAGAAGGTTTTTTTTTCTTTATGTTTATAAAAATTTATCAAAAATTCTCCAAGTATTTATTTTTTTTTAAAAAAATTCAATGCATTTTTACAAAAAAAGTCAGCGTAATGCGCGAATCCAGGATCTTTTTATTAAAAAAAAAGGTGATATACTGCACAGATAGGAGAGACATTTTTTTTGAGACTCTAGATAGACTCCTTGTGTGCCGACAAGTATAACACAAGGCTTACAAACGTAAGTCAATACACAAAACAATGGAAATT